AAATGGGAGAGGAAACCCAAGGGGAAGCATAGGTTGCCCTAGCCTGCAACAAACGCTCCCGGCCTCCGCCCTCTTCTTCTTCTTCTTCTTCCTCTTCCTCTCCTTCTTCTTCCTCCTCCTCCTCCTCCTCCCCCTCCTCCCCCTCCTCCTGCTCCTCCACCACCACCTTGGGCCAGCCACATACCTCTGTGAGGCTCAGGGTCCTGTCTATAAAACAGGCGAGACCCCTCCCTCTGCAGGACTGTGCTAAGACAAAGCCACACTCACTGTCATCAAGCGGATGGCCACTCTGATTCATAGCAACCCGAGAGGACAGGGAAGGATTGCCTCTGTGAGTTTCCAAGTCTCGACAGCCGGTGGTCTTGAACTGCTAACCTAGCCACTAGGCACTAGGGCTCCTGGAGGCTTCATATCCCCAACTCTTATGCCCCACCCCCTCCACAGCTCTGTCCATGGGGGGGACCCAGATCCCCTCCACCTGCTAGGCAGGCTCACCTGAGGGCCTCCAGGTGCCCTCACTGTCTGGGCTCAACTGCTCCCTTCACAATGGGGAACAGGGGCCCAAATATTCCTCTTCAGTGATGGATGGATGACACGGGGTCATCTTGGCGCAGGGGTAGGGTGGCCTGCATTTTCATCGCCCTGTATTTAGCTGGGTTGTGGGCACAGCACAACTCCAGGGGGCGCTGCCCAGGAGGGGAGGGGGGGAGACAGGAGCCAGGGCAAAGGTGGCAGGGGAGCTTCCTGGACAGGGGGGCTCCAGCTCTCAGTAATCTGAGAATAAGGCCATCTCCCCATCTCCCAGGCCACATGGCTTTCTGCATTTCCACGCAGGGGAGGGCTTCTGGTCAGGAGGGGGGACACTTGAGCTTTGGGCTGAACCTGTCCCAGTCTGTCTGTTCCCCTCCCTCACTGGAAACCCCTTCCTGGGGTTCTGCTCTTTCTGGGCTTATACACTCCACCCTGGGACGGCTGCTGGGGCTGCAGGAGGGAAGAGGGTGAGGCAGGGTGCCCTGGCCAGACCAGCCTGCAGGCCCCCCCAGGGGGGGGTGTCCTAGAGCCAGAGGTTGATTAGAGACTGTGGTTCCGCAGTGTGAGTGGTCGGGGTCAGGGTGGAGGTCCCGTGTGGGGCTCTCTTCTTCGGAAAGGCCTCCTCTGGCAGCTGGGAACATGCCCCCTGGAGCATTCCCCCCCCCAACACCCCCGCCCCCCACCGGCCTCCAGGCCCTGCCATCCCAAGGACAGCATTGGAGGTGCGGGCCACTTAGAAAGGGTCACGGCCCTTTATCACAGAGTGGGACTTCGGCCCCCATGTCCACATGCACGCTCTCTGCACAGTGACTATTTGGGGGAGCATCATCAACTTCAGACACCCCACCCCAACTTGCATGCCCCTCCAACTTTATGAGTTCTCCAGGGCACCGCGGGGCTGGGGGCGCTAAGGCAGGATAAGCCCGTGCAGCCCTTCTAGGACAACCGAGAGAGGGTCGAAGCACCGCCCCCTTTTCCAGAAGTACTTCTGGCGGCAAAGTCTGGCGGCAAACTGGGCCTCTAGCTCCCGTCCCTCCTCCCCCCACCCACCCCCCGCCCCTCCCCGGGCCACGCGGTTCTATTCACCGCGGATGGTGTGAGCCCGTAGCCCAGCCAGTTTCCCACACTTTGGCTCCATTCATAGTGTTAAACGGCCCACAAAGGCCGGGCGTGTGCCTCGGAGGCCTCCTGAGCCGCGGCGGGCAGCCATCTGGCCCGCACCCGCGGAGGGAGCCGGCCTTTCATCGGGCCAGGCGCCGCCCCCGCCCCTGCCCCCCCCTCCTAACCGCAGCCGGGACAGGATTTAACGCCATTCGTTTCAAATTTCCCACAATCGACAATTGGATCAAAGCTGCTCAGTCTGGGGGAGTGAGGAGAGGGTGGGCGACAGCGGGCCCCTCAGCCCACCCGCCACCCTCACCCAGGCCCTCTGCGGGTGGGCAGGCAATGGGGTGAGCGAGGGCTGGACCCAGCTCCTGGCACGTGTCTCATCTGGCTGGGGAGTCAGCTGGAGGAGGGGTGGGGGTAGGACACCAGCCCCAGCCCACTGTTCCTTGGGATGCCTGTTGAGGGAGCCGCTGCCTGGGTGTCACCCCCCACTCCCACTCCCAAGTCTGGGCCTACCTCTAGGGCTCTGCTGCCTGGAGCCCAGTGGTCAGGGCACATTTGAGCTTGGGCCCCATTAGTGACAAGTGCAGGCCTAGGCTCCGGGCACTCCCCGTACTTCCCCAGTTCTACCCAGCTCTTGCTTCGCTAAGTGCCTACACCTACTTGGTGCAGGGCCCTGGACTGGCAGGATGTGAATGATGGGGCCATGGTTGACTGTCATCCTGCCCCCTTCCCCGGCTCCAGCCAGCTCACAGGGTGCCCCTGACCACAGGGGACAGACACAAAGTGTGATGTCCCTCCACCATGAGTCCCATTTGGGCATCCTCTAATACCTTCTTCTGTCTGAGACCCTGCCCTGTCCAGAGGCTACTGTGAGACCCCAGAGGTTGGGCCTGGATGGTTTTTGTCCTTATGCATCGAAGAGGGGCCACCTGTCCAGAGGAGCGTCCCATGTCTCACAGAGGGGCTTCTATGCCTGGGGAGGTGACCACAGACCCCAGTTTTCTCTTCTTCCATAGCCAGCCTGGCGCCTGTGTTCCCTTTAAGAGAGGTACAGCTGAGAGTGGGATGGGAGGAAGGGAGAGTAGGGGGGCTCCCTGCCCTCCCTCTCTAAAGTCACCTAGAGCAGCGGTACTCGACCTTTTAATACCGTTCCTCTTGTTGTGGTGACCCCCCAACCATACAATTATTTTCGTTGCTACTTCATAACTGTCATTTTGCTACTGTTATGAATCGGGCGACCCCTGTGAAAGAGTTGTTCAACCCCCAAAGGAGTTGTGACCCACAGGTTGAGAACCACTGACCTAGAGGGTTATCTCCAGGACTCCCTACCCCCAGCCTAACTCATCCCAGTGTGGAGCGTGGGGGCACTTAGCCAATCCTTCTGCTGACTCCAAGCAAAGTCCTGGCACTGTCCCGTGCCCTCCCCTGACAGTTCCATTGCTTGGGCATCTGGAGCCACAGCCACCTGACAGGCCACTCACACTGTGGGTTGTGGCCAAAGCCGGCCTCGCTGGTTGCTGTTGAGGACATTCTGACTCGTGGTGATGGCTGTGTGCTGGGACCGGAACTGTGCTCTGGCATTTTCAAGGCTACAGCCTTTCAGAAGCCAGCCCTGGCTTCCACTGCACCCCTGGGTGGGGGTGAGGGGCTTGAGCTCATCACTGAGCATGTGATTGTATGCAGCATCCAGTTCCCAGTCACATCTGATCACAGCAGCTGCCCCAGAGCCATGCTTCTGGATTTCACCCCCGGCTCAAGCGCCTGCCTCTGGCTGGCTTCCACATGCCTCTCTCCATTCGGAGAGAGAGGTGTTGGGGTGTGGGTGAGAGGGAGGTTAGGGTGCAGTCCAAGCTCTGCCTCTTCTCTTAGTACCCTGCAGGGTGCAGGGTGCGGTGGGAAAGGACTGTTCTGGATGGAAGGGGGTCCTGGGGCTGGTGACCTGAACCAGCTGTTGGCCTTCAGCTGGCTGGTCAAGGTGTGGACTTGTTGTGTTGCCCAGTGGGTTCCTAGGGGCCAGTCTGGGCTGGCACTGCAACCCTGTGGGCTCCAAGCCTGTCCTGCTTAGCCCCTCCTCACTGCCCCTGGCACCCCCTCTGGCCGGATGCCTGAGGAAAGCGACCCACAAGTGTCTTACTAGGCTGTGCCTCAAAGTAGCAGGGGCTGTGGCCTCCCACCGGTGGTCCTGCTAGGTCCTGGGAGCCAGGCAAGTGACTCCCAATCCACAGTGGAGTGAGACCAGCAGAGAGACCATCCCAGAGGCCTCGATGCTCCAGGCCTGCCCTAACCAGCTGGTCCAGACCATGTGTGCCTGGAGCTGTGTGCTCCCCAGAAATATGCCCACCACCACCATTCTGTGCACATGAACTCTGGTCTCCCAGCCAGATAGGGTGAGGGGGTGAGGCTGAAGCACCCTCCATGCTACTGCTGCCTGCCAGGCTGCTTGAGGAGAATGGGGCACCAGGGCTCTGTACTTAGGCAGCCTTCCAGTTGGGAACCCCGGATCCTCAAAGCTCTCTGAACCCCAGCCAGGGAGGCAGCCTGCCCCTTTCCAGAGTGGTAG